AGTGTGCTTAAATCTCCAATATCGACGACAGTTTACATTTTGCACAAAATTAAGCCATGAAATCAAAGATATAGATAATCAAAGAAACAAGTTGATAACATTTGGCAAATACTCATTGTCTGACATGCAAACTTTAGGTTTCTGTGGAATATTTTATAGCTCTCAATAGCAATGTTAATCTTCTTTTTTTAAATATTGATAGAACTAATATACAAAATTAGAAAAAAGGTATGATCTTATTGCATCGTTTGTGTTACTGCTTTGACTGCACTACTAACTGACCTTTGCATTGTGTGACTTGGCCAGGTGAGGGTACTTCTCAGCTATGGCAAGCAGAGTCTCGGCCTTCATTGCAGGCTTCTCCAGCAGCTGGTTGAGGAAGTGAAGCAACTGGAAGCTCTTCCAGGAACTGATGTCACGGAAACTCTCCTAGAGGAGTCACAGGGTTCAGCAAACATGGAAATGACCATAATTTTGGTCTTCAGATAAAAATACATAGAAATTGACCGGAAAGACGGCTGTTCTCTCAGATGTTAACGTGAAGATATCATCAATATTATACAGCCTGGTCATCAACACAAACAATATCATCGGCATCATACAGCCAGCCATCAACACAAGCAGTATCACCTGTACCTTATAGCCAGGCTATCAACACAAGCACTATCACCAGTACCATAGAGCTATGGAATGAACACAGACAGTATCATTAGTAGCATATAGTCAGGCTATCGACACAAGCAGTATCACCAATATCATACGGCCTGTGAACGTGTTTGAAGATGGTTGTATATGTAAATAAACATGTTAACTGTACATTACAAACCATTTCATAACATGTATTTCCAGAGCATGTTTCAGAATATGTATCGTACAATGATTGAAGATGTATGTAGGCGTTAACCATTAAATATGTCAATTAAATCAATAACCATATTCATATAATTGATATCAATTGAATATGTATCTTAATGGGGATTCTGCAATGTATTTAATCGTGTATTATATCTGTAAATTAGTAATGTGTACGAGGGCTGGTCAAAAGGTTCTTAGCCTGACTAACTTTCAACATAACAAAGTGAAATAGTCAATGTAATATATTGTTTGAGTAGTTCATTGCAAGTTTCTGTATTTGGTCTGTTGGGGCCGTTTGAAATGGAGATGAACAGTTTGGGACTTGAGATAAAAGTACATTTACAGATGACTAAGATATCTGCTCGTTGGGTGCCAAGGTTTCTAAAGTCTGATCTAAAAGAAAAAAAGAACTGACATGTCAGAGAACACGTAAAGCTAATTGATGAGGATGTTGTCAAATTCATAAGGAAATAAGTAACAGGTTATGGAACATGGGTCTACCACTTTGATCCTGAGTCAAAACGTTACTCCATGGAATGTCAACATTCCATTTCTCCGGCACCAAAGAAATTCAAGTCTTCAAGATCAGTGAAGAAAGTTTGGGCCACTGTACTCTCGGACGCAAAGGGTCGGCTCCTTGTTGATTACACTGAAAGTCAAAAGATGATTGCCGGTGCCTACTTTGTTCATTTGCTGCATCACCTGGAAGATTCTATCAAAGAAAAGCGGCGAGGAATGTCGACTGTTGGAGTCCCACTACTTCATGACTGTGCCTCTTTTCACACCTCTCGACTTGCAAAGGCTGCTGTGTGACGACGTGGGTTCGAAAAGCTTCCTCACCCTACATGCTCGCCAGACCTGGCACCAAGTGATTTCCACTTGTTTCCTAAACTGAAAGAACACCTACGTGAGAAGCACTGTCACGACAACGGTGTCCTCCAAGCTGCCATGAATTGGTTTTTCAGTGTGGCTTCAGAATTTGAAAACTACTTCCCTGACTAGAATTGAAAAGCTTGATATGAGAAGTGTATTGAAAAGCAATGAGATTATGTTGAAAAATAAAAATAAACACTTTAACAATTGTTGGTTTTGTTTGTTAGGCTTAGAACATTTTGACAAGTCCTTGTATATATATAATTGCAGAAACATATGCCAGACTATAGTTAATTGTCACCCCATTTACAAAAGCCGACTGCCCTTTTACAATAGGTGAGGGCACAGTGAGGTGTCCTCCAAACATTACAGGTTACCTGAAACCACCCTGCCAAACAGAGCGTAGTCACAGCTCTATACCGTACAGGCGAAGGTCTGTAACGATGGAGTGTTTCATAGAGGTGGCACTACTCCTGGTATTACTTGGAATCGTTGACGGTACGTTATCTTTTGTTGTAATAAGAACATTCTGGTTGGCTTAAGCATTACTTTACCAACAGTCCTCTGGAAAGAGTTAATCGTATCTTTGGCGTTAAGAGACATATTCTCACTGAACTTCGAACCCACGTTACTCAAGGTGTGTTCTGGTCGATTTCTCAGCGGGGTACATGAGCGGGCTACATGAGTAGGCTACATGAACAGTCTACATGCAAATATAATTGCCCGCTCCTTAACCAAACAGGAGCTAGTATTGTCATGTAAGGTGAGATAGTTGGCTGTGTATGCGGTGTAGTAGTAACGCGTGTCTATTTTTTAGTCAGCTTAAATTAAATGAGGTTGTTTAAAGTCAAATGAGCCCTATACCATAAACTTTGCAAAAAATCCTACAGTTGTCTGACATTTAAGCAATTTAAAGAGAAGACTATGGCCTACGCTGCACATTGTGTCAAGAGGGAAATATTTCCTATTATGTGACGTATTCTGAGTGCTTGTTGGTCTTGGTACTAGTTGTTACCATCTAGCCGTCACTTGATTTGTTGGTTGGAAACAACGACTGCATGGAATATTTCCAATGGATCCACCGATGGTGGAATGTAGTGTAAATGCTACATTAAATATGTAATGTCTGACTCACGCAGGGAATATTCCCTAAACGTTTCAGTGAGTATACATATTCCCTGATTTAACAACCCTGTTTATGAGGGTTGCTGAGCCTTGTTCGCTAATACCTGGTGTCATCGCTGATTTGTTGTGATACATTCTCATAATTGTCACCACTGTTTTGCCTTTTTCGCCCAGTTGAATCTAATTCGGGGGATAATCAAGAGAGACTATTCTCTGACGTTAACGTTTTATCATCATCATAATTTGAGTTTGTTCTGGACACGTTTAAAACAGTTTTTTTGCAATAACACATGCTTATTATCAGTGTAACGACAATGGATACATGGAACCTTACTCATGCACAACGAAAAAGACCAAATAATGCGTTGAAAATATTATCTTGCAGCCATCAGCGATTACTCCTGCAGTACTAATTGTGGTTAATAAGCAAGAGTTTATTAGTGTTTTCAATTATAGCACGACCCCAGTGCTGTACACTGTACGTTCGAGCCCACGTGTAGATAAATTCTGTGCAGATAGACAGTATACATTGCAGTTTGTGTGGATAACTAAAACAACATTGTTTTGTATTATGTGAATGCATATGAATGTATAACTTGGCACGTAATACTTTAATATTCTCATCATATATTGATGTACAATCGGAATATTATGTAAAGTAATCATTTCAAGTATATTTTGCAATATAACCTGTTTGAAAAAACTACCACAAGGGATGATATTACCTTATGAACAAAACAATTATACAAGCACCTTAAAAGTCGAAATATCAGCCAACACACCACATAAACAAAATATTGCACCGAGGGAAGATATGTATATTCATGAAGAAATTAATAATATATTGCATTATGCTAAACTTAAACACTAGGATTTCACATGTCCTAAACACATAAACAGACGTACAAATATCAATTATATTTGCTTGCCATCTCTAGAAGTTTGGGCCTTGATTTGGACTTTGTTGTCACATTATGAGTTTGTAAGAAGTCACGGAGCTCCGAGACTGACAGTTCACTCAAACTGACATCTCGGAATGGTTAAGATGTAATTTCTTTGTTTATGTTTGACCTTTTCGCCTGTCTCACTTCAATCATCGTTTCTTGCCAATACACAACCTTCCTTTTAGTGTTTTGGCTCTTTTCTCAATTAAGATCTCTATGGTTCTCCATTCGTTTCCGGACATTTGATTTTGGTTGGTGTGTCTTATTTATTTCATCATTATTTTTTTCAAGGGCCTGACAATTAAATCACGAACGGAGCCATAGCGAGCAACCACACCAGGGACGCTGGCTCTCGGTGTCAGGATTTAATTAGAATCAAAGCTTTGGAGGTAGATCATTCAAAAGCTTTTTTCTTTTCCTGTACCGAGAGTCCAATTTAGTTTTTTGCTATATCTCTTTTACCAAACAGAAAATGAAACTCCACAGGACCTGATACAGTGAACTATCTCGTCAACATTTCTTACCTTGTCTTTCTTTTCAACTAGACATTTACTCATGAGGCATGCCTCCACTATCAAATTCCTTTCAAGCACATCTGTTATTCTAAGTAGTTGATTGATCAACATCTCCCCCAGGTAGTTTTGAACTTCAAGGTTAATACGCGGGGCATGGAGAGGACAAAGGGAATATTTGTCTGCACATGTTGTTATGTCCTCTACTGTACGCCTGACTTCCCCTGTGTCAAAGTAACCCCAGGGCCTAGTCACGTCGTGTCTGTCATTCTATATTCTGTATGACTGCAGAGAAGGAAACCTTATTACATACCCCTACCACTACGTGAGTCCCAGGTAGTTTTGCCAGCTGCAACTACATGAAGCATTCCAAATTGGAGCATTTCAAATAGAATCTGTACAAGAGCTGGAATGCACAAACGAGTCTTGATACCAAAAAAATAGTACCAAAAAGGTCATATGTATATATACATAATAAGCATGTAATTTTAGGGATTATGTATATTCCACATGCGTCATTAGACATGACATAAATTTCCCGAAAGTTCGCAAGCTATCGAATGGAGAGTAGTTCATACACGAATCTGCGACATTAATATCAGCTGTTTTCATGTTAAGAAGAATTTTATGTGATTTGAAACCTCGGACTAGCAACTCTTAAAAGAGTATCTAAGATCTTGTTTCTGTTTAGGTTCAGCAACTCCGACGACACAAACCCCGGCCTCAACTGCCGCAGGTACAACGACACTACCCACACCTGTATCTAACAACACCCAGACTGGCGGACAAGAATACGCTGATGGTATAAGTATAGACATAGCTCCTTTGAGTATGCGAGATTTGTTTAAAGCCGCTTTGAGCAGTATTTCAGTTATATCATGGCATGATAGCTTGATGTGGGAGGAAAGCCCGATGTGATGCAAGTATACACAATATAAGGAATAACAAATATGTATTTCAAAGTTGTAATACTAAAATATATTATACTGAACAACAAAAGTTCCTGTGACATCGAATAAGATTTAATGCAAAGTTTTGTTTTTTACCAAATATGAAACAATTTCGGTTTGCAACGGATAAAAGACTCCTGTAAGTGTTCAAATGGTTTAATTTACCATACTGACTGAGAAAATGCGTGATTTCATAAAAAAAACATGGACATGCCAAAATGTCAATTTACAAATAAATAGCGTGTGTGTCCACCTCTGGTTGCGATCCAAGCAACACATTTTCGTCTCATGGAATGGACCAGGCGTCGCAAAAAGTCCTGTGAGATATCTGTCCATATCTGCTGGAGCATGTTTCGAAGTTCCTGGAGTGTCTTTGGAACACGTGGTTGACGTCGAAGGCGCTGATATATCTCATCCCACATGTGCTCGATTGGTGAGCGATCAGGGGAGCGAGCCGGCAAGGGGATGACATTCACGTTGTTTTGTTGAAGAGAATCCTGAACAAGTCAAGCAATATGAGGCCGGGCGTTGTCATGTTGAAAGGTAATGCCTAGGCCATGACGACGCAAAAACGGTAGAACAACAGGGCCGATGGTCGCGGTAGCGCTGTCCATTGAGATTTCTCTCTACCACTATGAAATGGGTCCTCTGTCTTGCTGTAATCCCACCCCATACCATAACGCTGCCGTCCCCGAACCGATCTTCTTCCATGACACAATGACTCACCTCGACGTCGGTTCTCTCGAATCCGTCCATCGCTGTGACTGGGGTGAAAACGAGACTCGTCAGTGAATAGAACTTCTCCCCACTGCATGGCCGTCCCGCGTCTGGCGGGTCTTCTGGCGACAATCCCTGCACATCTGAGGCGACGACATACGGTTTGTGAAGATATTCGTCGAAGGCCAGGGATTCTTCTTGCAGTCACTGTTGCTGACTGGAATCGATTTCGTACGTGTGTTGTTCGAAACCAGTTGTCTTGTTGATTTTTGGTTACGCGTGGTCAGCCATTCCGAGGATGGTCTCTGACTGCATTCATATGTTGCCAACGTTGCCATAAACACCAAATGGTGTTTCTGTGGACGTTAAGTTGTCTTGCAACATCACGTTCACTCGATCCTAACTCAACCATACCAATGGCTCTCAGACGCTCATTTTCGGACAGGCGTGGCATTTCGTAAAGTTGAATACATTGCCTAATTTTGTTGTTTTTCTGAGTGGTTGTTGTCAGCACGCAGCTAAACAATGCATATGGAATCCCGTTAACGTGCATGTTTTTATACCCATTCTTGGCTAGTAAAATGCATGGGGCTTGCATAAAAGTCAACTTTTGCATGAAATGCATGCTTTTCTGTAGCAGTTGCGTTTTTGTGAGTTGATTCAATACAAGTACTACAATATTGAAAAACAAACTTTTTCTTGTTTGAAAAATACACTAAAATATTGGTGTCACAGGAACTTTTGTTGTTGAATATATTATAAGTCTTATGAATAGGTCTATTATTTGAGTTTTGGTAAAATGTCGGCATTATGGGGATAAAACAAAGAATGGTCTCTTTGGAGTCAGCACATTCCATATAAAATAAAAAAATATTAAAATCACTTGGCACATTTGTTTTTGTTTCCATTATGACATGCTCGTTTTCAAATACTATACCGGAATCGAGTATCTAAAGTGATGTGCTTTAACTGACTAGCTAAAGATTTTTTAACATCCTTCTAAAGCTTTGCTTCTTACCATATGACTCAGAACTCGTGACGATCTTAAGAAACACACAATATTCTGAAGCTACATTTTCAACAGATATCGGTGGTATTTTATACATAGATCAGACATCAACGTCATATGTACAGAGATATATGACAGGACGGGGTAAAGGAACATAAAGAAGGGTATACGTAGTGCTCAACTGTTCTTTCAAAATGTATGGCGACTCTCTGATTCGCTAACGCCGATAATAACAGTGGGGCGTATTCATATCCACAGCAGCACACATGCACAAACTTATGTTTTCATATTAACTGTTTCACACACTTCCATTCGGTAGACGTGGCCACATATGTATACTTACAGTCATATAACAACCAACTGTATCGCTGTAAAACTACATTCAGCATGGGAATGTTCAGAATGCCCTACAGTTACACCGTCACTGTGACTTACCGAGGAAGTGTCAGAAGCTATGATGTATAGTTGTTATCCATCTAAAACCCTACTAACAAACTGTGTATGCTTCTTCCAGGTGTGAGCTACTTACTGGCATCTTTTCAATATCAGCATTATACTGATGCAGTTGCAGTGGCAGCTGGAGAAACAGGGGGATCCTTTCTTGTTGATTATCCACAGCTGGGATATAACGTCACAAGGACTGTAACACCATACGGGCAGACTTATGCTTACATAGATTCGTCATTGTGGGTGACGGTGGGTGTGGAAAACAAGGCTTACGTAATCCATGTCTTTGGTAAGAACATGGGCGTTCACAGACAAATTGGAAACTACGTCTTATCTCCCCTCCCGATCTCTGCCCTAGGGTCAAGGTATGTAGTATCCACCTGTCTGGGAGACATGGGCCACGTGGTGTTAGTGATAGCTAGCCACAACCACAAGACGGACGTGGACATCACGCTGATGCTGGAGGGGAACGTCACCTATGAAAACATGACCTACAACGACGGAGACACGATTCACGTGACATTAGATGAGTATCAGACCTTCACGATGAAGAGTGACTATGACCTGACTGGAACTGTAATCAACACAACAAACACTGTAGCTGTGTTCAGTGGGACAATGCAAAACTATTTCTCCAAGGGCGCGACGCAACTATTACCTGTACGGCATCATGACACGGAGTATGTTATGTATACAGGTGAAGTATCCAATTATAGGAACTGGACATACCAGCTACAAGTTATTAGTGATCAGAGCAACACTAAAATTATGTTGAACAATGGATCTACATTCTCTCTGGGTGACAACCGTGTATATCGCCAATACCTCGCCTATAATGAGAGTCTATATCTTACTGCCACAAGGCCTGTCATGGCAACCCTGCGTAGAAACGGCCTATATGCAACTCTGCATGGGTTTGCTGTTGTAGTTCCAGTTACGTATTTCGTGAACAGTGCATTCATTCCTTATACAACTTGTATAAACATACTGACTAAACAACACGTAACGGATATTGAAGTATTGTCTAATGATATAGCCCCTGTTACATTTGACTGGGTGGACATCCCCGGCAGTGATTACAAAGCGGGAAGAAAGTGTTCATATACCAGATACATCGTCCGCTCTGCCAGCAGATTCGCTGTATATGGGTTTTCCGACGACATTGTTAGTGGAGGCTACCGTTTCACTTCCGATCCACCAACTACAGGTGCTGATGCAGGTAAGTTTGAAGATACCTTGCATTTTGAAAAGAATTTAATATCTGTATACACACACCGTGTTTACAGTGTAGAACTGTGTTATTTGTACATTTATCCCTGCATTGAATTTGGAACCGGAAACAGTATGTCGCATCTAAATTTAGAATACTCAAGCCATAAGTGGAACGGCAGCTGGTGTTCAGAAACGACACATTAGCAACTTCTGTCCCGGTGTCGCAAAATAACACCCACCACCTCCCCACGCCGCTCCCCCTGAAAACGTTTATTGGTACAGGCTCCTCCCCAGAAGATTAAATCGGTGTACATTTGTGTATACTCACACGCAAAAGAAACGCAAGTGGTTTTAAGCAAATAGGTAAAAAACCCGGTACCATAAATTAATACGAGTTTTAGCATGTTGTGAAGCCTGATGGTGTTATCAATATTTTTGGTTGCATTTTGGAAGCCCCGAGTAAAAACGCAACATGAAAAACGAATCGCCAAAACGCACCATTTTAATGAATATGTGGGTATCATGCACCCATTTCTCGCGAAATCGAAAACGCACGAACTGTCACGAACTGTAGTGGGTGTAAAACTGTGGCCGATTCTTGGACCTACCACTCCTTGGTCAACAATGCCACGCCTAACACAAATTCAGAGAAACCAGGCTATCTGACGTTTGGAAGCTGGAGAGTCTGTCCAAGATGTTGCCCGTCATTTCAACGTTAACATAACCACAATTTACCGTGTCCTGCATCAATACAATGCTACACAGACCACAGATGACCTTCCTCGGAGCGGTCGTCCTAGGGTCACAACACCTCGACAAGATCGGCAGATGACCCGTCAACACCAGCGACATCCGTTCCTAACTGCAAGTGAAAGTGCTCGACAGACCATAGGAACACATAATCGACACATTAGCCGGGACACTGTTATCCGACGTCTCCGTTCCAATAACCCCAGATGTCGCCGACCTGCACGTCGTCCTGTTCTCCAACCACGGCATCGACAAGCACGACTTAAGTGGGCACAGGGTATCGCAATTGGCGTCATCGTGAGTGGAGGCGTGTCATCTTCTCTGATGAAAGTCGCTTTTGTGTCTCCCATGCAGACGGAGGAGTCAGAATTTGGCGGCGTCGAGGTGAGCGTTTCGCTGACAGAAACGTTATGGAAAGGGATCCATGGGTTGGACCTAGCGTCATGATATGGGCAGTGATTGGACTTAATGCGAGACTTGGACCCATGTGCTTTCTGAATGTTGGTCAAGGTCGGGGACACGGCGTCACTGCTCAGCCATATATCGACCAAGTGATCAGATCCCACGTTGTTCCTTTTTTTGCACAACATCAACAACGCTCATCCCCATGTTGCCAGAGCTACCATGGCCTTTCTGCAACCAGACAACATCCGTGTTCTACCGTGGCCAGCCCTCAGCCCTGATCTGAACCCCATCGAACACTTGTGGGATGAGATTCAAAGACGTCTGCACAATGTGCGTCCAGTCCCTACAACTGCCGATGAACTTTGCACAGCTGGTCTGGATGTGTGCAGGAGGATCCCTAGGGCCTTCACAAATCGTCTGATCCACTCAATGTACAGGAGATGTGTGGCAGTGATCAATTCTAATGGAGGCCATACCAGGTATTGACTGACATTTTGGGTATTGACCCGAAACTGTGTAAGCCCTTAACATTTGAAAAAAACAATTATGTCATCTGCCTTTTAATCCATTAAACTGTCTTCAGTCAATTTCTTTTGTCAGTCTTGCCCATTAGTACTTCTTGTCTTTACTGTTGAAAATAAAAAAACATGTATACTGCATACTCGACTTGCGGTTCTTTTGCGTGTGAGTATATATCCCGCCCCCACCTGTATAAAGTATCCCAATATTTGATTTTGCATATATTGTTTATTTTGTGTTATAAGTTTTATCCCCACAGATTTAATTCTATAAAACTACATTTTTCTTGTGAAAGCCTGTTTGTTTACACAAATATATGAAATACATCATTTGCGATGTTTTGTTTAAATTAATGTACCAGATATATACGTCTATACTATACTTTATTCTACAAAAATATATTTATGTGATTACATGTGCAGCTTGAAATGCAGTAGCGAAACAATCTACTATCAGAAAAGGGATCTGAGACATGCATGTTGTCATTATAATTTTTGTCTTTAACTACTTTAGTAACTTAGGTGTAGGTAAGACAATGCATGTACAATTACTATACCACCAGACTGCAGCCATTGTGAGTGTACTTGACACAGAATGTCTTCATCTCATTTTGAATGTTCACATGTCAATAACATCGAGAGGGCGTCATGACTGAATGTGTGTGAAGTGAGGAAAGAGGATGTGTGCGTTCAATTATCAATTCTGTCAACTTCTGTTTGTTGTTACACTCACTCCAACATTTGTCGCACTTAATCTCTCTGCTTTATTTATTATTTGTACTCTCATTTTTCTTACCATTCATAAATGTTGACTATGCACATTTAAGAAATATTTCAAACGTGTATCAAGTTTGCCGTACAAAACCGTGTTTTATTTCCCTTATATTAGCATGTAAATAGTTTAATTAAGTAAAAGACTTTTGTTGTTGAACTGTTTCCAATAATCACTCAAATTGGTAATACTGACTTTTAAACATAAATTCTATTCAACATATTTTCTTCTCTCCACAACCATCTTGCCCTTTAGAATGTACAGGAGTTGCTGCAAAGGTAATATGATTCAGGTCACTTATAGTACACCCTTTATAAGCATAGTGTGTAGATCTCATTCCGACCGTTTACATTATTTTGATAATCTGAATCGTATATTCAATACTGTGTCTGCAATCAGATATCAAATCATACATAATAATGTGAAAGGTTACGTAAAAGTATACACTTACAGTGTGGTACAGTGGAACCTTTTAATACCAGACGATCGAATAATCGTGTCAACGAATCATTGGTTGGGAGTTATGTCGGGTCGAAACGGCCACTTGTCTACTGGTCCGAGACAAGTGATATATTGGACTGGTGATATTATACAAACAACTAGTTTAAGAAGAATTGTGGACACGTTGGATTTAGCTCGTGACATCTACTGTTATACACAAGAGAAAAAGTTAAACAGTTTACTTCATCTTCAAGTGCAAGATAGTCGCATCGTATTGTATGGTTCAGAGAAACAGAAGAATGAATGGGTTGTAAAATAACTCTTGCCATGGGACATTGCACATGCTCAACATTTCCTCAGGTGTATACAAAATGGACAGCGTATCAGATAGTGTCCAGAAGACGGGATTTACAGATTGACAGGGCCCGGTTGACGGGTGTCCGGATTGATGGGTGTCAGGTCTGTCGGGTACATGTCTGAAGTGACATGGCAGTAAATTGTTCAGACATTATGGGACATGTTCAGCAGTTACTTCACATGCACTGTAGAACGACGAGGATTAACAGTTTTTATACATAAATTCAGTCATCTGTTCATCAAAGTCCCCTTCTCTTAAATTAATTGCTATATGTTTAACATTGCGTAGATATTTTAGATTCCCCAAGACACATGAACTTGAAAATCGAAATTTGTGAAATGGCTTAACCTCTGAACTCTGTGATGTACATGTGGTGTGGACTTTACGATGTGAAACCGTATCTCAAGGAATGTGATTGTTTCCCCTTTCATGCCTGATTGTTTGTTGTTTTGATCAAAGCCTACAATAATCATGCATTTCTATGTTATGTTTGTTTATTTGTTTGATTGTTTGTTTTTTAACGCTACACGCGAGTTGGGACCAGATAAACTAGTGATTGCATCCATGAGCATCCGTCTACGCAATTGGGATATGGTAACATGCATCAACCAAGTCAGCGAGCCTGATGACCTGATGCCGTTAGTCGCCTCTTACAAGTATTATCTGCTGAAGACCCATTCTATCCCGGATCTACATTTGGGGTATGTTTGTTTCTAGAGCCTACAGATGTATTAACTGCTGTCGTCAAAAGGAATGAATTAACTACGGTTATAACAAAGTGAGCCATTACGTACAATCGGGTTAGAGGGACACAGGTGGTCCAATCGTCTAAGCCGTTGGAACTCGCTATGCAGATGTGGGCCACTATGTGCCAGAAACCGATAATCATGGGTTCAAATCCGGATTTGCAATGATTATGTTGCTGTGTTTGTCACAACCAAACCCG